GATTCATGACTCCTATGAACCTAGAGCTCTAATACCAACTTGTCACAACCCCGATTCGCCCTCCGTGAACCATCGTGATGGCACCTAGTCTTTACGACTTGGTAACCCTAAAAATGCGGAATATAAACAACAATTGTGGAAGGAAATAATTAAAAACCCAAATAGTGAAATAAAGCAGTGTTTAAAATGCCGCTAGGCATACATAATAACAACACTCAAAACTAATAACATTTCTCAAAACCCGGAATCTCATGATCATAAGCCTTTGAATGTCTACAAACATCTAACTCCAGAATATCTAACAAAGAAACAAAAGTACAGAAGGGCTAATACAAAAAGGGAGAGTAGAAAGGGACTCTACGGTCTGCGGACGCAGCAGATATACCTCGGAGTCTCTACAAGTGCCTCGTTTCAAGTGTGATAAGTATGAGTGGAAGTACCTAGATCTGCGCATGAAAAACATGCGCAGAAAGGGCATGAGTACACCACATTAGTACTCAGTAAGTGTCAAGCCTAACCTCGGTCGGGTAGTTACGAGGAAGGTCAGGGCCATACTGAGGTTAAATAAAATATAAGGTTCAACAGTGTAGAACAAAACAGTATAAGTAAGTGCAACAGTAAAAGTAACACATGATATAAAGGACAGCAACAACTACCACGGAGGCCAAGTAAACACAGAAAGAAAATACAGCTCAGCACAAAGATAACAAGCGGGGATCTCCCAGGATACCGTCTTGTAGTCCCAAGTATAAATATCCAGTGGATCTCCCGGGATACCGTCCCGTAGTCCAACTCATAATGCGAGGGGATCTCCCGGAATACAGATCTGTAGTCCCAAATGTAAATACTCAATACAGGGGGAATCTACCGGGTGAATTCCCGTAGTTCCAATGTAACTGTGCAGGTGGATCTCCCGGAATACCGTTCCTTAGTCCCAAAGTAAACATACAGGGGGATCTCCTAGGATACCGTCCCGTAGTCCCAAAGTAAACACACAACAACAACGAGAAGAGTACACAGTCCAATTCAAGTTCCATACCAAGGTAAAATAGGTATTTCTAACCTAGCATGCTGCACGAAATCCAAATAAGGCAGTTTGAGTAAGTAAGGCAATTAAGTCAATTAGACATATTTCCCTAAGCTAACAACATGCTTAAATTTGCAAGTAGTATAAACAGAAAAAGAAACATACTAGTAATTACTTAATGAAAACCGGTTTTTCAACAATTAGCACAAGTAAGCACTCGTCACCTTACATACAAGGCATTTCGATTATTAATAATACCAAATCCTATGGGTAAGGTCCCTCACACAAGGTTAGGCAAGCCACTTACCTCGAACCGGCTCAAAATCAACCTGAAACCACGTTCTTGCCATGAGTACTCGACTCCAAATGGCCCAAATATATTGAATTTTATTGCATAATGTAAATAACACTTCAAGTAACTGATTCTACAAAAACAATTTAAGCTAATACACGAAATTAGATAAAAATAACAAAAATGCCCCTCGGCGCCGCGTCTTGGAATTGGGTAAAATTTGTATTTTAAGAATCCTCATCCTCTCACTAGTTCAGGCATACCAAAATTATCCAAATCCAAGATCAAATTTCCAAATCAAAATTCGAATTCTAGGTCTAAGAACTTTCTTCCAATTTATCCCACATTTTCACCTCCAATTCGAAATTAAATGACAAAACTAACAATAGATTAATGGAATACAACTAGAAAGGGTTAAGGAATTGTTACCCAATGATTTCCTCTACAAATTCCACCCAAAATCGCCCTCTCCCGGGCTCCAATTTGATTTTTTCAAGTTTTGAACTAAACCTTCGATTCTGTCCCTTTTCTGACCAGTGAAACTGTATCTGCGGTCATGGGACCGCACCTGCGGTCCCACTTCTGCGAAGACACAGACGCATCTACGACATTTCATTAAAGGGGGACTTTCGCACCTGCGACTACTTTACCATAGATGCAGTGCCCTGACCGCATCCGCGGTCAATTGCCTTTTGCCTCAAACCGCTTTTGCGTTTGCTTGGTTGCTTCTGTGATCTCGCACCTGTGATCCCCAAGCCGCAGGTGCGGTTATGACAGCAGCCTTGAAGCTTCAGCTGCAACTCACAACTCCAAACCTTCTCGTCAAACATCCGAAATCATCCCGAGGTCCCTGAGACATCTACCAAAAGCACGGCCAAGACATATACCACTATCCAAACTTATACAAATCTCCATAACACCTCAAACAACATCGAATCAACCAATTAGCATCAGATTCAAGCCTAAGAACTTCAAAAATTCTCAAAATACGCTTTTGATCAAAAAGTCTATCAAACCTCGTCCGAATGACCTGAATTTTCACACACACATCACATTCTACATTACGGAGCCACTACAACCTCTAGAATCCCATTCCGACCCTTAGATCAAAATCACACTATCGAACCGAAAACTTGCAAAAACTCAACTTTCGGCATTTCAAGCCTAAATTAGCTACGAACCTCCAAAACACGATCGGAACATGCCCCTAAGCCCGAAATCACCCAACGGAGCTAATGGAATCAACAAAATTCCATTCTGAGGCCATCTTTACACCATTCCGACTACGGTCAAATTTTCAAAACTTAGGCTCTCATTTAGGGACTAAGTGTCTCAAAACTCTCCGAAACTCTAAATAAACCGTCCCGTCAACTCACAATAGCAGAAACAAACACGGGGAAAGTAGTTAATAGGGGATTGGGGCGTAAATTCTTAAAATGACTGGCCGGGTCGTAATAGAACTGATCCCAAGAACCTCCAAAGTCAATAAGACAGGCGCGAAGCATATCCTCCAAAATCTGAATAGTATGCTCGGACTGTCCACCCATCTGAGGATGAAATTCGGTGCTCAACTCCACCCGTGTACCCAACTCATGCTGAACTGCCTTCAAAAAATGCGAGGTAAACTGCGTACCTAGGTCAGAAATAATAGACACGGGCACACCATGAAGACGAACATGCTCCCGGATATAGATCTCAGCTGACCTCTCTAAAGAATAGGAGACTTCCGCAGGAATGAAATGTGCTGACTTAGTCAGCCTATCAACAATAACTCATACCGTATCGAACTTCCTCTGAGTACGTGGAAGTCCAACAATGAAGTCCATAGTGATACGCTCCCACTTCCACTCAGGAATCTCAATCTTCTGAAGCAGACCACCAAGTCTCTGATGCTCGTACTTTACCTGTTGATAATTCAAACACCGAGCTACATAGACAACAATATTCTTCATCCTCCTCCACCAATAATGCTACCGCAAGTCCTAATACATCTTAGTGGTGCCCAGATGAATAGATTATCGGGAACTATGGGCCTCATCTAGAATCAACTCTCAAAGTCCATCCACATTAGGCACACAAACTCAGCCCTACATCCTGAAAACTCCATCATCTCCAACTGTAACCTACTTGGCACAACAGTGCCACACTGTGCCCCTAAGGACAAGTAAATAAGGGTCATCATACTGCAGATCCCTGATATGCTCAAATAATGAAGACCGAGCGACTGTGCAAGCTAGATCACTGTTGGGCCCAAAAACATCCAACCTCACGAACTGATTTGCTAAAGCTTGAACATCCAAAGTAAGTGGTCTCTCACTGATCGGAATATACGCAAGATTGCCCATATTGGTGTTACATCCCATACATTATTATTAGGATAAGTCGTAGTAATCCATATGAATGTCAAGGAATTAAGACCATTCACGAGATTACAGAGGAATTGTCACTATGTTATTATAAGACCCTATAAGTTTAACAACCTTGATGCCGTTATATACATTGGATATGGTATTTTGGGTGGAATATTTTTGTAAAATTTTTGAAAAATATGATTTTATATAGTTATTAATATTACTACTTTCGAATATGTTTTAAATTATACACATAATATGAGATAACTTATGAGATTTTCTTTACTGTAAAGATATGAATTATTTTATTTTTCACAAGAAAAGAAAGTTATCTTTTTACCATTTTAAGAATTAAGCATACAAAAATTTATACTCTTTATAGGAGATTAGGAAAATTAGAAGTTGAGAAAATATGTGTATATTGTTTTACTTGTATGTTTTAATAAAATAATAGTATATGTATTGATTTTATATGGTTTCACATGACAATTTACGGTTTCAACCTTTATTCTAAATGAAATTTAGACTTTCCATTTTGGGCGAAGGTAGTATATTAGAGTATGAAAAGTGTTTAATTAGTTCTAGTAAATGTTAACTGGAAATTATAGGATAATTATTTTGAAAATACATCACATCAACATTAAGGTAATGTAATTATTATATATGTGGTTTGAATTGGTAATTTTTTTAAACGAATGAGAAAAGTGGGACAAGGTATTTAGAATGGAGTGATAACACATTAAGATATTACTACTAGTGAAATTTTAACTTCCTAATTCTATGTATAACTGTGCGGCATTGCTTAAAATGACGTTCATTTCCTTGAATAACCAAAGAAAAACCGAAATAGAATCAATTCTTTGATAAAGGAAGATCTGAGATTATTTTCATTCTTGCATAGAATGGGAGATTAATTAAAAGACTAGAGAAGGCATGCAAGGTTAGGCAACCCCCTCTCCCATTCCAAAAATAATGTGTGACTAATATGTGACATCTATGCCACATTTCACAATAACTCAAAATGGTGGCAAGTGAGGTGGACCCCACTATCCACTCATATTCCCTTTTTTGGATGGACACATTATGACATATATATATATATATATATATATATATATATATATATATATATATGCCAAAGAATAAATT